TTTTTTTTTTTTTAATTTTTTTTTTTTTCTTGGTCTTGTATCACTTATTTTGTTTCAAATAACATCGGATTTTTTGGTTGTATGTTTGGTTGGTTGACTGTTGTTTTTTATAATACTCAATTTTTAATAAATATTTTATTCTTTATTATAATGTAAGTAAAATGTTGCTTGTGTTGTCAGTTGTCTTCAATAATATTTTCTGATATTCTATAAATAAAACCTTTCTTAAATTTGATAATATATAGGGTAGAGAAGAATTCTTGAAAAGACTTATTCGAAGTGAAGTGACTAATGGAATGATGATTCAGGTAATCCTAATTCGGTTTCAATATTTTATTCTTCCTTTAATTTGCATTGTACTTAGCATTTTAAATTTGCCTGTAATGAGGCATCTTTTCCCTACTTGGTTTGCAAGCCAGCAGTTTTCTCTCCTTAGCTGATGACAGTTGCCCTCTGTGTACGACTAGCAGAGCCTGATCATGCATAAAGAAACTGACCTCCCATACACATATCTCATTTTGTGGCTTAATGGGAATTTCTGCCAGTCTAGTAAAAGGGCAGTGAGATCTTATTCCTAAGTGTCTCCTTAGTTTGCTTTGTGATGATGTTATGTTTTCTTTACTTTTAGTGTCTTTCAATTGAATTTCTGTATTTAACACTGAAAAAACATATGTTATTTCTATATAAAAATTTTGAAATCAAATTAATATAGCTAGCAAAGTCAATTTAAAATGTCTTTATCTTCGTCTACCACCTGCATATCCTTTGGAACCCAGGTTGTCTGTTTTGATCTTTGACATGTTTCTAGAATGGCTCCCCTTCAGAGATACATGAATACTTGAAGTTCTAAAAATAAAATCAAGAGGCAAAACAGTCCAAAACAGTGTTATTGTATACACTTATTTGAGATTATCTGCACCTCTGGTCTTCTTTGAAATGAACACAAATTTTGTGATTTCTTCTGTTAGAAAATTTGGCATTTTCAGACATATAAAAGCAGTGTTTCTCCGCTTCTCTATGCTGAAAATGCCAAATTTCCTGATTTATTTTTCTTTCTATGTATATGTATGTTCAATAATTCCATAATTTTCTAGCCCTTTTAGCTTAGTATTTTGTCATTAACTTCTTGTCCATTGGTTTTACTGGGTTTTAGTTTGCCAGAATTACATATATTTCAATATTTGTTGTTAGTGTGCTTTTTAACCTTATTATCTTCCAATACTTACATAAGAATGTTTGATTTTTATTATCTATATTAATTGTCTCTCATTTTTGAATAATACCTACATTGTTTAAATATGGTATATTCATACCTATTTTTTGTGGTGGCATAATTTTTTTTAAATTTTCAAATAACAACAAATATTATTGCCTGACACAAGACTGAGACTCAATAAATGTTTACTTTTTTTAAGTTTTTAATTCCAGTTAGCAGGCAGTGTTATATTAGTTTCAGGTGTGCAATATAGTGACTCAACAATTCCATACATCACCTGGTGCTCATCACAACAAGTTCACTCCTTATCCCATGTTTAGGTGATTGATAACTTAATGAATTCTTTAAAATTTTTGCTGGCAGAAAAAATTGTATTCCATTCAAGAAGAACAGATCCTTGAGAGACAGGATCTTATGGAAAAGAAAGCAATGTACACCCTAGCACTGGCGGAACTAGAGACGCCGCTGCTTGAACTAGAAGAAGATGCCGCAAAAATCAGAACTGCCCACAAAGAGCATGCTGACGTAAGCACTTACAATTAATCCAGAAGCTAATTTCCAGGAGTGTTGAGGTCGATAAATCGTATATGTGATCTTACATTATTATTTGGAATATTATGATTTCACATAGGAAGACATAAAAGCATGAACAAAATGAGTATTTTATGACCACACAGCTGATCTATAGTGGAACCAAATGGCAAGACTATTGATGCTATTACCTGGGCCCCCATACTCTATCTTAAAGTGTACCTAGGAAAAGCAGTTTTCAAACAGATGAGTAGTGATTTTTCTTTTGTGATTGCCCACTATGTTAAATTTAATTCAAAGTCTTCACTGCCTGTTAATAAAATGCTGAAGCTATGTTTACTCAAATATAAAATCTAATGCATCTTGACATTTTTATGGTAAATTTTTGATGTATGTGGAAGAAGTTGAGACACATAGGATGAAAAATAAAGCAAATGTCGATAAAATATTTTCAAAACAACAAGTTTATGGCAGTTACTGATACTACTAGCCCTTCCCAAAGAAAAATTTAGTAGAAAAATATGTATGCATCCTGTCATTAGTCTTTTGGAGAAGTAGAGGGTGTGGTGAGAGTTATATATTCTTGTCCTTAGGTGCAGGGAGGACATACATACATTCGTTTGGGCCATTTTAGCAACAGAATTTTTTTCTTTGCAAATGATGATGTAATTTAATAATTTATTAAAATGGCCTTTAATAATTTTCAGTTTTTTTAATTAAAAAAACTTTATGATTTGTAAAATGTTCCCATTTTGAAAGTTTATTTCGATCTTCAAAGCCTCCCTGTGAAATAGCCAAGACAGAGCTTACCTGTGTTGTGGGCTTGAGAAAACTAGGGCCTAAATGCACGAAGCAGCTTGTACAAGGCCATAAAACATGGCAACAACAAATTCTGAGTATACTACTATATTCAGGGCTCTTAATTGCTTATCCTAGAGCTCATGTAATGAATATATAACCAGTACTAACACCTAGTGAGATAGATGATTTTAATAATGGCTCCTCCTTACATTAGTGATGGAAATTTATTAATTGCTTCAAAAGCCTCAGTATAATCATCTGAGCATAATGAATTCCTAAAAAGATTAATGACTTTTATTCCCCCTTATTTTATAATAGCCATTGTTTTTTTTCCTCATCTTATAGTTCAGTAATCATTTTTGTTTTTATTATATTTTAATAGTTTATAAACTATAAGAACTATGAATTTAACACAGACTCTTGGAAATAGCAAGTTTTTATGCACTTTTGGTAATGATCGCTGATAATTGGTATTTGGAGTTTTAATTTTGGTTAAAATTTTCAAATATGGTGAAAACTTATAATTTCTATGTGAGTTTATTAGTTTTTGTTATTTAGCTAAAATTTATTAGATTTTTGGTTTTATCTGCTAATTCAAGTGGAATATTGGGATGTGGATATCATAGTATATTTTTGTTATTTGTGTGTGGTGGTCCTTTCCCTTTCTACCAAAATACATATTGTTACTATTAAAATGGTCATTTGGGAACTACTTGGTCTAAACCAGGGTAGTTGGATTGTAACTGCTGCATATCTTAATTTCTGAATGTCTTCTAGACATTAAATGATATAATTGAGAAAAGAGAAAATGTTAAAAAAAATGTGGAAAGAACAAAGAAAAATTTGAGAAAAAAAGGGAAGAAAACTCGTGATGCAATAATAGAAACTGAGGTAAGAAATTTAATACCAAAAAAATTTATGAATTTCCAACATCTTTATGTCAATGAAAACTATTCAAGCAATTTATTTTAGGTGGATACCTCTCATTTCTAATTGGTTGCACTAAGTTTCTATATGCATACACACACACTCACACATACACACAGAGTGTATCTTCATTTTTTTCTCTTTTATAGTGTTTTTCCCACTGTACTAGTGCACCCTCCTGTTAACCTTTCCTACAAAGTAGAGGTAGGGATTTCTGTATTGTACCAGATAGTACCATGTTTCTAGAGATGAGACCAATCTACAGACTGAAACATTTGTTAATATCCGACAACTCAATTTTACCCTCACGCCATTGTAAAGGCAGCATGGTCATATATCAAAAGGCTTCAGGGCTTTTTCCAAATCAGAAATATTTGCTCCCTGGGCACCTGGGTGGTTCAGTTGGTTATGCATCTGATTTCGGCTCAGGTCTTGATCTCGCAGTTTGTGAGTTCGAGCCCCGCATCAGGTTCTGTGCTGACAGCTTGCTCAGAGCCTGAAGTCTGCTCTGGATTCTGTCTCCCTCTCACTCTGCCCCTATCCCGCTCACACTCTCTCTGTCTCTCTCAAAAATAAATAAGCATTAAAAAAAAAAATGAAAGAAATATTTGCTCCCTGAAAATCCTCATCTCCAGTATTCTGTCTTTATAAAATCACTGGATATGGGGAAGTGGAGATAGTCCACTATCTTCAACTTGCTATCCTCTGAATATATTTTTAAGGTAGCACCAATTGGATTTGTTGGTGGACAGCATGTTGGCTATTAGATAGAGGTGTAATCATATGTTTTTAAAAAATTTTTTTTAACATTTATTCATTTTTGAGAGAGACAGAACAAGAGCAGGAAGGGACAGAGAGAGAAGGAGACACAGAATCTGAAGCAGGCTCAGGCTCTGAGCTGTCAGCATGGAGCCCGACGCGGGGCTCGAACCCACAAACCAAACCATGAGATCATGGCCTGAGCTGAAGTTGGACACATAACCGACTGGGCCACACGGGCACCCCTGTGTAATCATAATATTTTTAAAATGTTTGTATTAGGCCACAAAATAAATATTAAAAATTTACCAAGGAATATAATAATACTAGCAACAATAACTCCAACAACAGATACTGATATTTTTCAATTCTCTATATCCAGACGTTATTTAAAATGCTCAGATATATTAACTCATTTCAACTTCATAATAACTCTACAAAGATTATGCTATTATTATCTCCATTCTACAGTTGAAGAATCTAATGCCTTGTTTTTTAATGAACTTGTTCAGTTTCACACATCTTGTTAATGGTGCAGTCGAGATTCACTAAATCTGGCATTGGCACCAGAATCTATGCTCTTAACCATTACATTATTCTGATCTGCTCATACAGGTTACTTTTGTTGAATATAATGAAGTAAAATTAGAACTCTAACAAAAAAAAATTGCAGCAAAAAGAAAACATTTGTATAGATCACTGGAAATATGTTTTTAGAAAATTTTTTTAACTTTATTTTTAGAGAGAGAGAGAAAACAAGTGGGGGAGGAGCAGAGAGAAGAGAGAGGGAGAGAGAATCCCAAGCAGGCTCCACCCTGTCAGCTCAGAACCCCATGCAGGACTCAAGTTCACAAACCGTGAGATCATGACCTGAGCTGAAATCAAGAGTCATACACTTAACTGACTAAGTCACCCAGGTACCCCTCTGGGCATATTTTTTAAATTACATTTTTTCCCCATTATTTGCTTCTGTGTTAAGGAATATTCAGAAATATAACTTACCATTTATTTATAAATGACTGATGATAAACCATAGAGCAAAATTTATGGAGCAGGTCAGGGTAATACTTTAGTATTACCAATAAATTATTTTGGTAAGAAAAACTTAAAGTGCTTAGCATATCTATGTGAACAAAAAGAGGATAAAAACAGCCATGGGAAAAACTAACAGAGAAATAATTATATATAGTAATGAAAGAAAGAATGCTGCTTTGCATAGCAGTTTGTTTTAAAATTTGGATGAAGTATATAATTTATTTATAAAATGCAAATAATGAAAACTGAGTCAAGAGGAAGAATCACAACAAGAGTAGAATGATAATTATAGAATAAATGTCATTTGTCTAGACCACTAGTGGCAAGAACAAGCCCAGGTACTTTACAGGTATCCCTACAAAGACCAGATACAGACCATAACAAAGTATGGAGACCTTCTGAATTCATTCTGTAATAATGTAATTCTGAAACTGTAACTGAAAAAGATTAGCATGAAAAAGAATTCTATAGGTGATCTCATTTATGAACACAGATGACAAAACCTTAAATATATCAGTGCGTTGAGGTTTTACAGTGTGATTTAAAAGCATGTATTATGCAAGTTAAGATTCTTTTGAAGAATGTGAAGATGAGTCAGCATAAAGAAATGTACAGCTGATACTTGAACAGTGCAGGATTTAGCGGTGCCGGCCCCCACATAGTTGAAAATCCACATGTAACTTTTGACTCCCCCAGAACTTAACTACTAATAGCCTACTGTTGACTGGAAGCTTTAAAGATAACAAACAGTTGATTAACATATATTTTTGTATGCTACAGATATTATATTCTATATTATTATATTAAAGTAGAATAGACTAAAGAAAATCATAAGGAAGAAAAAATATATTTACAATAGTGTGCTGTTAAAACTCTGCATGTAAGTGGGTCTGCATAGTTCAAACCTGTGCTGTTCAAGGATCAGCTGTACTAATATAATTCAGTACATTTACAGAAATGAAAGACAACCCAAAATATTTGATAAAACACCATAGCCACCAATGATTTTTTTTTTTAATTTTTTTTTTCAACGTTTATTTATTTTTGGGACAGAGAGAGACAGAGCATGAACGGGGGAGGGGCAGAGAGAGAGGGAGACACAGAATCGGAAACAGGCTCCAGGCTCTGAGCCATCAGCCCAGAGCCCGACGCGGGGCTCGAACTCACTGACCGCGAGATCGTGACCTGGCTGAAGTCGGACGCTTAACCGACTGCGCCACCCAGGCGACCCCACCAATGATTTTCAAAAAGACCTTCAACTACCTAGAAACAGAATGAAAACATTCTGACCTTGATTGTGTGTTATAGTGTGTGTCTACCAGTATTTTTTAGAAAATGTTATACTCCATGATGAAACATTAAAAGTATTTCCTTTAAACTCAGGATCAAAAACATTCCAATAAGCTCCTACTACTCAGCACACTTCTGTTACTGATCACAAGTTACTTGTAACACATCACAAAACCTAAAACCTGTGTGTTGAGCAGTACAGTTGAAAGCTACCACAGTTCTCATGTCCACATCTGAATACTGGTTTCAAAAATACTAACTAAAAATTGCCAAAAGTGGTATGTCTTACAAATAACAGATTTCAATGAAGAATATGGCTGAACACTTTCTTTGTGCTCAGTGTTATCCAAGGTACTAGGAGTTCAAGTGCTAGAGAAGAAGGGTTAATTTTCTTTTATTTGTCCTTCAACTTAGTTTGCCTTTCCAGTTATTATTGAACACTTGAGATATATTAAACATTGTTGGAATTTGCTGGAGTTGAGGAGGTAAAAGGAGAACTTTGTTCACTCAAGAAGCACATTATCTTTTTGGGGAGTAGACAAGGACGCAGAGAGCATTAATACTCTGCGAGCAAAGCTATGACAGCGGTATAATGAGGTGGGAGAGTGTCATGGAGGAGGAAACTGAGCTGTGAACTGAGGGATCTGGGGAAAGTTTTTCAGGGGAGGTTATTACTCACAGAGCAAATGGAGGTTAAGTACTTGCATTGCCATATGTTGTAGGGAACAGAGATGATATACACACAAAGCCTAAAAGAATGAAAAACGATTGGCAGTGGAGGTATTCAACAAATGGTTTCCATTATTATTGTTATATAATTTTTAAATGGATGAAGAAATGAGGTAAGGCATTTTAGAAACAGATGCTATGTTTGCAAAGGAAAGATATCATGGAATAGTGCTGTGTGTTTGTGGAATTGTAGGTAGTTTGGTATGACCAGAAAGTAGGGTACCTATTATAGGAATGAAAAGAGATGAAGCCAGTGAGATGGGTGATCCCTGGATGAAGAAACACCTTCTGTACCATGCTGCTGTGGAACCCCAGACTGTAATTCAAATATTTAATAGCATTTATTAAGTACTCTTATGCTGATAGGTATACAAAATATACTGTAGACCCTATTTTTATCTTCTAAGAACTTAAATTCTAAGACAGATAATTTTTAAGACAAATAATCTTTTACTGTGCATAAACATTTCAATCATGGCCAAGCTAAACGTGGGCCATTACTGAATTTTTACTATTTTCACCCCCATTTAAATCGTAGACATAGAATATACACTTATTACATTTAGATAATTTAAAAATACATTTATTAAATCTTACTTAAAATATAATCTGAAATTAATAATTTAGAATATGAATATAATCTTTATTTAATTTTTAAGTTTATGTATTTTGAGAGAGAGAGAGAGGAAGTGCGAGTGGGGGAAGGGCAGAGAGAGAATCCTAAACAGGCTCTCTGCACTCAGCACAGACCCCAGTGTGAGGCTTGAACTCATAAACTGTGAGATCATGACCTGAGCCAAAGTTGGACTCTCAAGTGTCTGAGCCACCCAGGCGCCTCTATAATATTTATTACCTGATATCTTTTAAATATGTGGCTGGAAATGACAGTATTTGAGAAAAATAAGCCGAAGGATGGTCAGATTCTAAATGTACTTTTTTTATGCCTCTATTCCCATTTACTCTGGTGGCACTTCAGCATTTATCAATAGACTTACAAATGGCTCTTGGGGTCCCCAGCCTTTTTTGAACTGGAGATGCTCAAATTTGTACCCCTGATTGACATAGAGCATCTAAAAGCTTCCTTCTACTCAGCTCCTTATAGTGCTGTTTCTTCTCTTTTTTGATGCCGTGGAGGGGGATATGCTGTTCACATGTACCAAAGCCTCACTGATGGTACCTATTAAAGTGCCAAAATACTGTTTTTGCTTTTCACTGCTGTCTGCAGGAAGCACACTCTTGCTTTCCTTTGGTATAGAATCCTCTGACACCGCCTTCAGCATTGCTGAATTGGCTGGTTTGGTCTCAGTTGTAGATACCATTGCTTCTGAGGTCTTCTTAGTTTCCTACAAGAATCCTCATTCAAGATTAAGGCATGAATTATGGAATCTGACTTAAAAGTCAAGTTTAGTGATGGCATGCTGTACTCACAGTTGCCCATCCTCTTCAGCTTCTGAATACTTAATTTACTCCATACTTATGTATCTCTTCACACTTTTTTGAGGTGTTGACTTTTCTCCTAGTAATAATATAATATCCTGTTGGGTCTCATTGAAGAATCCTAGTCATTCATCTTTCAACCGTATTCAGGTATTGAAAATAAACCAAAAACCAACCAACCAACCAACCAACCAACACCCTCATTCCAGAACTTTCAGAAAAAAGAAAAAAAAAAGGGAGGATATGGAAATTCAAACACAGTACCCAGTGTTGAAAGTCGTGGACAAACAGTGGGTAGGAAAATAAATATAAAAGATTAGCCTTTCTTCTTGAAATCTGTAAGAGCAGAGAAAGAATCAGGGAGCATATGGGGGAAAATGGAGGAAAATAGGAGCAAAGGGAGCAGTTGAAATCTGTGAAATCAGTTGGGGGAGAGTAGCACTAATTAGAAGCAATGCCAGATGTAGGGAACAACATTCTGTAAGTCAGTCATCCAGTCAGTAAATCATTAAGTCAATATAAACACCAACAGTCATAAAGGGATCATGCAAAAAATAGATGGAAGATAAAATCTTCAGTCTGGAATTGTACAGGCCAGCCTTGGGGAAATGTATTAAATACCAACTTCTTGTGTTTGAATGATCAGGACAATGTGTATTCTTGCCTACCTTCAATGTACACGTTTGAAAAACAGTAACCACATGTTTGCATTTTGAAAGGACGTGCCTTTAAGGTGTGCATGTATGTGGGCGTGTAGAGGGACAGACAAGTTAGTGCAAGGGAGAGAGGGGAAAATGGAGAGAGAGGAAAAGAGATGGGGGCAGAGAGACTGTATACTTCTAACCCATCTTTTAGAAAATCACATCAGGTGTTAACTATGAAGAAGGGAAGGTAAAGCTAAGTTGTTGATTATGTTGATAAGAAGTTACTGCTTGCTTTTGATTGTTCACATGGCCAAATGTAATTGTATCCTTAAGTTGCCAGGATATGAAAATTCTAGTATTTAAAATAAAACTTTCTGGGGTGCCTGGGTGGCTCAGTCAGTTAAGCCTCTGACTTTGGCTCAGGTCATAATTTCATGGTTTGTGGATTCGAGCCCCTCATCAGGCTCTGTGCTGACAGCTCGGAGCCTGGAGCCTGTTTCAGATTGTGTGTGTGTGTGTCTCTCTCTATCTCTCTCTCTCTCTCTCTCTCTCTCTCTCTCTCTCTCTCTGGCCCTTGCCCGCTAACACTCTGTCTCTCTCTCTCTCTCTCTCTCTCTCTCTCTCAAAGATCAATAAACATTAAAAAAATAATAATAACAAAATAAAATAAAACATTCTTGAATTTGTTTTTCAGGAAAAACGCTCAATGATTTTTAAAGAAATAAAGACCACTAAAAGTAAAACAGTTATTTATCATGCAAAAATAGATCAATTGAATAAGGACTTAAAAGAAAAGGAGAAGGAAAAGAATATTTTGGCTCAGACACTTGAGCAATTAAAGTAAGTATTTAAGTGTTATAAAATATTAAATGTTCAATATATTATTTATAAAAGAGATATGATCAGATTTCCATATTTAAGATTTGTTCTTAAAATGATCCATAATTTGCCATCATTATTTGATGTGGAATAAACATGTAATATTTGATAATTTTGGCTTAAGAACATAAATTGCATTCATTTTTTATTACTCTGATGGGTTTATTCTTATTTGAGTAACTGCAAATATTTATTCTTTCCAAGTAGAAGAACTTTTCTTAATTATGAAATTAATCTTTCCCACTAATTTCAATATTTCTCACTCACATGACATGGTTAATAATATATGGTTTTTCACCCAACACTTTTGGTAAGTTTTAAGGTAAGCCTTTAGAAATAGATATTCTATAAAACCTCATGTAATTTTTTCATATTTATTATAAAAATCTCTTATGCAGTCCCTTCATTAGTCAGGGGCATATATGACAAGGGTTAGTAAGGTCTTTCACTTAGAGAATGACCATAGTCTAAGATCCTTCAGTGTTTCCATAGACCCTTACTTAGAACTTGCATACTCTTCCTTTATCCCTTTTTGTTCTTATTTTCTATTTTATAATACATTGAGAACAGAGCTTGCAGGACTACTGGAAGAATATACATTAGTCACGTTTAGGAATTATAGTTTGATTTAAGTATAATAAGGCTAACATAGCATTAGCAAAATCACAGCCCTTGAGGGATAAAATGTCATGAAAACAGTTGCGCACAGCTTGATTATCATACACTCTAATAGAATCAGGGCATGCTCTCAACAAGGATTTATTTAGCTATTACTATAGGGTAAAAACATATTCAAAATGATCATACAGATTTATCTGAAAAACATTAAATTATATTCAGTATATCATGTAAGAAGGCAAGGAAATATGCTGTTTATTTTGAAAGATATTTATCCACATCATTTAACGTCTGTACAAATATGCTGAGGTTCAATGGTGTAAGCTTAAATTTTCTTAATTCTCATTGAACTTGTAAAGATTTAGTTTAGGAGCTGGTGAATTTCCTTTCTTCAGAATTCTTACCATTTCAGTCCTAACATTTTCGTCTGTTCTGTGGCTAGATTATATTGCCCTTGGGACAAGATTGGTCACCATGTCCCAGTGAATCAGTTCCCTCTCTAAACTTGACAAAAGTCTGCCTTCTCACAGGAAAAGGAGAAAAAGAATAGCTGAAGCTGTGACATTATTGACAGATCTATAGTTAACAATAATGATGGATAATGTCAAGTAATATTTAAAGTTACCATTAATTGACCTCTCAACGTACCACATACTCTGTGGGCAGTCTGTGTTCTTTATCTGACCCAGTTCTCACAACAAATCTTTAAATTATATAATAACATTCTTAGAAGAATACTGAGGAAACAAGCTGAGGGAAATTAGTTGACTGCCGTAACATTGTACAGCTAATTAGTGGTAGAACCAGCTCTGGTTTAGGTCCATCTTATTCCAAAGTGGTGCTCTTACGGCTATGCACGTTGACTCCCTAAACTAGGATTGGAAAGGAAGATTATTGCAGATAAACTGTATTAGCAATAGTCTACTGGTACTTTCAGTAGGTGACTGTATCAAGCTAATCATTCTTTATTGAGAACTTACAGTGTGCCTAGTGCCAGACACCGAGAAGGACAAAGAAATGACAAATGAGAAAGAGAACCTTCAAGTATCTAAAGATAATTTAGCAACACAAGCTTGCATGTGCAAAACTACTAAAATATGGTGATAAGAATAATAACAAAGCTATCCTTGGCTCTAATTTTTACACCTGTTTCTTAATTAGGATGTGAAAGGATTTAAACCAGACCCATAGGACCTCAGAGTTTATTCCTTTTATCACTGGGAGAAAGGAAACAGTATTTTCATGCATAGATATACATATAATCATAATGTATGCATTTGTGTATGTGCCTATATGTGTATGTGTGTATATATATGTATATATACATATATGTATATATCTACATATATGTATGTATATATGTATACATATATACATATGTATATACACATGCATATATAAATACATATATGTATATGTGTGTATATGTATATATACATATACATGTATATATGTATGTATTTACATATGTATGTATGTATACATATACATATATGTGTATATATACACATATACATATATATGTACATATGTACATATACATATATATGTATATGTATATTTATAATTAACTAAATGCTCTGTTGAATATAATCCAGTCTCAAAATACTTAGTGTACGGAACAAAGTATATGTGGTCAATATATAGTGATATTTGTTGGGAGCAACTGTGGGAGTATTTTGGTTCTGGTCATACTAGCTCTTTCCTGTGTGAATTTCCCCAGTATTCTATGTTCCATAATGTCAAGGGTTGTTGTTGTATTAAATGAGGTATTATATTCAAAGCACTTTAACATTTCAGTCCCTCAAAAACTTTAGTCCTGCTGCTATTTTAGCTAACTGTGCAGAGGATTCAGTTTTCTATACCAGCAGAGATAAAAACAACTGTGGGTAACGTAAGACTGTGTGGAGCTTTTGCAGCTGCTTATTCTGTATTCTGCGTTACTGATCAACTCTGGCAATTATTTCTAAAGCATATTTGTTTTGCAGTATTGTATTAACCACTTTTTGATGCTTTTTCTACTTATATTGTTCCTTATTTAAAGAAAAATCACTTAATCTCTCTGTCAGTATATACTTAGTTGCAAAGGACAAAATGCACACACACACACACACACACACACACACACAGAACACATTCTCACAACAGCTTAAACTAAACAATAGGGAAATGTGTCATATTATAGAACAGGGGCTCTTAGGCAGGGTCAGCTGCAGGGTTGGTGATCCAGGAGATCAACACTAGGTACTCAGTTTTTTCTCTCTCCTCTATGCCCATTGTCTTCAGGTTTGAAAACATGACTCACTCACATTTAGTGGATGGGAGCCTTTTGTACATGGAATTAGGTCCTTGCCTTTCGTCTTATTAGGCTATATTAATACATATCTTCATTCCTCAATAATCAGCCACATGCTAGTCTAATCTAATTATACTTAATCTAATTAGAATGTATTTTTGGGGTTATATGCTGCATGGAGGAGGGGTTCTTTTGGAGAGGCATGCTGGGTAGGCAACCAAGAAAATCCACTAAATTTCTCTAGAGATTTTCTCTAGAGATTTTCTCCCAACTGGATCATTTAGAAGTAGCTCTATGGAGATAGGCCTGTGTAAAAGATTAGGGATCTTTCCAAAGCCCTTCAGCTTTAAGACTTTTAAATACTGGCTCTTTAAAACTGAATCACAAATGCATTTCAGAAAATAAAATATGAATTGGTCAGTGGCAAATACAATTCTTTCTTCATAGGAACCACTATATAACTACAAAATATAAAAAGGAATATGCACAAGCTGTGTTTGATCAGCTCGTAAGTGAGAAAAAAACCTGTGAAGAGAGACTCTATGAAGAAGAACAGAGATACAGAACACTCATTACCATGAGGCAAAAAACTCTGGCAGATATTAAAGTGAGTATTATTTTTGGACTGTCTTAAAATGAAGGAAATGTAGTGATAGTTAAACTAGCAGGTAGTTTGAAGCACTCGTTTTTCATATTGAAGTGGTAATGATGTTCAAATTTTAAAAATGAATCCGTTAGTGCAATCAATGTAATTTCTTATTTTTTCTTCTAAGTAATTACAATATATTCATATACCATATTGTGCTTTTTAATGCATTTTATGTGCACTCTCATTGTGTCATTGTACAAATATTCCTTGACTTGCGAGTAGGTTATATTCTGATAAACTCATCGTGAGTTGAAAATATTGTTGTCAAAAATGCATTTAATATACCTAACCTCCCAGCATCATAACTTAGCCTAGCCTACCTGAAATGTGCTCAGAACCCTTACATTAGCCTACAGTTGGGCAAAATCATCTAACACAAAGCCTATTTTATAGTAAAGTGTTGGATATCTCATGTAATTTATTGAATACGGTACTGACAGTGAAAAACAGAATGGTTGTGTGGGGAAAGACTGACTGTTAAGTGTATCAGTTGTTTACTCTCAGGATCACATGGCTGACTGGGGGCTGGGGTTTGCTGTCCCTGCCCAATATCACGAGACAGTATCCTACCCCAAATCACTAGCCTGGGAAACAATCAAAATTCAAAATTCTCAGTATGGTTTGTCCTGAATGCATATTGCTTTTGCACCAATGTAAAATAAAAAAAATTATAAGTGGAACCATTGTAAGTCAGGGACCTTCTGTACCTCACTTTATTTTGAAGTCTACTGGTATAAAAGTACAATTTATATTTATTCTAGAGCCATTATTACGCCTTTAATAGGAGATGTGGGGATAGTTACATTTTATTTCTGAATGAACACACTTTGATTGTTTACCAACCACTTTTTTGAAAAAGGAGAATATTTCATGCTCTTTTCCTTTAGAAAAGTTTTCCATAGATTTTAATTGCCCTGTAAACTTGGAAACAGAAATCATATGATACATATTTTTGGATCTGAAGTTTAAGTTTTCTAAAGCTATTCATACTAATTTTTTTATATAGAATATGAGTAAATGGTACACATTTAATTAAGGGATTCCTCTCCTATTTTATATTTTGGATTAGTTTCTGATACATTTAATTATAATAATGAATGCCGTGACTTTTTCAATATATTTATAAACATGGCTAATTTTTAAGAGGCCAAATGGTAAATTACTTCTGAAAAATCATTCTACTGCATCTTATTACAACTATTTCTGCAAAACTTTTAAAGATATATTTACTATCACAATATACTTTTTAAAGCTATTTTTGGTCCTGATATTAATATATCCAATTATTATATATATCCATATACTCAATTACTTTTTACATTTCAAAGAAATTATCTAAACCATTTTTAAAAATTAGAGCAAATATACATTAAGCAAGTATGTCAGTGAATGCACATACCATCTTTCATGTTATTTCTGTGATCCTCCCTGTAGAAAACTATTAATAAAAGAACAATACAGGGCACCTGAGTGGCTCAGTCAGTTGAGCATCCAACTTCAGCTCAGGTCATGATCTCGCTGTTTGTGGGTTCAAGCCCAGCATCAAGCTCTGTGCTGACAGCGTGGAGCCTGCTTGGGATTCTGGGTTTCCCATTCTCTCTGCCCCTCCCCTGCTTGTACTCTGTCTCTCTCTTTTAAAAATAAAAACATTTTAAAAACAAATAAAAAATAAAAGGACAATAGAGGTGCCTGGGTGGCTCAGTCTGTTGAGTGACCAACTCTTGTTTGCAGCTCAGGTCAGGATCTCACTGTTCGTGGGATTGAGCCCCATGTCAGGCTCTGTGCTGGCAGCACGGAGCCTGCTTGGGATACTTTCTCTCTCTGCCCCTCCCTCTCCCCCACTTACTCTTTCTCTCTCTGAAAATAAATAAGTAAGCTTAAAAAAAGAATAATAGTTTTATTAACAGTAGTGTTAAGTAATATTCTTCCATTTTAAATAATGACCTTTACATAGAAAAAGAGTATTTTAGGGGGAGGGGGCCTAACAATATGAAAATAATTGGTGCCATCTAGTGGCAATAAATGATGCCTTCTTTTGGAGAAGTTCCTGAAACATTGATGGCTAAATCTCAAGATTTGTGATGTATGAATGGACTAGGGAGGCTTAGATGTAAATGCACCCCTCAGAAAGAGAAGGCTTAAGTTATTTACTGATTTAAGCATCATTCCCCACCTCATATTTTATCACAGCAGTAGAATTAGCTGTTTGAATTCAACCACATTTTCCAATCGTCCTAGTGCTGAGAACACAGTGGGATCTCAATAATCATTTATTGACTGGCATTTCAGCACTTTAATGGAACAATAATAATTAGTGAAATGGCAAAATATGGTCAGCAGGAGAGAGACAAAGAAAAAATCCTGTATAACTAGCCTCTCAGAAATTGAGATTTGTATTTTTTTTCATCCAAAATCTTGTCTCTGCCTTCGCATTCCGAAATGCACCTACCTCCACCCACTTGTCACATCACCTGGCGTTGTGTTTTGTTCTTAGCACCAATCTTTCTCTGACCTTGTTTTGTTCATTCATTTTTGTTTGTTTGTTGTCTGCCTGCATCTTGCAATACTAATGTATTGTCAGTGAGATTTTCTGCCACATTCTTCTCTGTATCCTATAAGCTCAGAATTATGCCTGGCACAAGGGAGGCACTCAATGAATACTCATTGAATGACTGAATGAATAAATGGATGAACATATGCTTTTTTGGTAATTTTGCTGTCCACATGCATGATAATGCCTGAAAGCAGGAGCATTTCAGGGACATTTTCCATACTGCGCCAGCCTGATACTTTAGTTGAATACTCATGCTGCATGCAAGAGCTGATTTCTCCCTTTCTTTCTCTTTCTCATTCTCTCTTTTTCTCCTTGATAATTCATGAGACATTTGCCATCTAGTCTTTCCTTGTAGGTGAAATGGTTAAATTCTCTATTGCTTTCTAGCAATTAAGGATTCTGATAAATATCTGAATAATACTTCTTAAATAATCTTAAATTTATATGAAATTGCCTCTTATCAACTCTCAGATAGTTCTTTGTTATGCATTTGCCATATGTGATCAGAAGCATAGAGTTTGAACATGCCTAGTTTAGAAATTGATATATCTTACATTAGTGACACTATGATTCTGATCAGTTATTGGCATTAAATAGTGGAAAGAATGTGATTCTTCACAGAAAACTATTCTCATCCCTATTTAGAAATTGGATGAAGTAAAAATTTGTAAACATGTGTGTAATATGAAGCATTCCTAAAAAGAAACAAGTTTTATTAGGCATGATTATAAATACAGTATTACTAATCTGGGGCCCCTCTGGGCAAAAGAATTGATCACAATTATGGATCATCTGAAGAAATCATTTAATAAAAGCATATAAAATCCACAGTAGAATTAACTGGGGATGTAAGAAAACATGCCATAGAATTAGAACTACAAACAGACAATAAAATGGTTTAAGAAAAAAATTATATACAAACTTCAGATAGAATACAATGTGGTTCTGGAGTTAAATTCAACCTTTTTTGGTTTATATAGTTCCATATCAGATATAGTTAAATGAAAGATATTTTAATGTTAAATGGAGTTTTAACTGCCTATAGTTTGCAAATACAATTAAGATGAAAATGTCAGTATATCATACCCATCAAAGTACTATAGCTCTCGCTACTGATCTTCCTTTTTGTTACTAGAAAGATCCAAACAAAACTGGAGTTTCAGGTTATTTTAATCTTTAATTTTAATTTTAATCTATTATTAGCCGTCCTCTGAAGTCCCACTGCTTTTCTATGTCAGTGCCTTTCTCTAGTGATTTTTCTATAATCTTGCTCTCCTTTCTATAATTTAGGGTATGATATGAGAAGGGTATAATGGTCTATATTGGATCATTGGCAGAGAGACCAGTTTCCAAATTGAATTCTATAAGACACAATCCCCTAATACTTTGTAGAGTTTATCAGTTTTTATTTCACCTCATATTTTTTACTCTCAGGAAATATTTACAGCAGTCCCATATTTGGCTATTAAATCACTTCTTGACCCTTTCATGTGGAAAATTCTTAGCTTAATACAGAGGCAGTGATTCATTGCCTCATTAGACAGCCAGGTACAGAAATAGTACAAATAAGAAGCAAATTTAATCTCTGAGATAATTTTAAAGATTACTACAGTTTAAAAAATTATTCTCCTAGTTTCCACTCATCACTTCTTCATTCACACAACTAGTTTATGAGTACTGTGTTCAGGGCATTCAGTGTTGGGTGACTACAACCCTAGCCTCAATTTTAAAGATTCAATCAGCAGAAAGAGGGAAGATGTAAAAAACAAACTTGAATATAGTAACAACATTCAAATTACAAACAATAAATTGTGTCCCTGGCCCACTGACCTGATACATTAGGTATGATTAAAATAAAATAAAAACAAATTACATATTCTGTGGTCTTAATAGTGGGAAATGAATGTGTGAAAAACCTGGGAACATTTAGAAGAACTGACCAATGGACCTCATAAGCAAGAATAATTTGCCTTAATGTTAATTTTCTTGCTACCAAAAGATTTTAAATTAACATGAAAGTTTTAGAAGTTGGAAACATGGTTTGCATAATTAATATTTTTAATAATTCTGGTAGGATTAAGCATCAGTCACATGTAATCATATTAATTAGGTTCATCATATTGCTTTTTTAAAGCTGCTTGTTCAAATCCATGCTCTCTTGAGGTATGAACATTTTAATTTGAGGACTGGTAGCAAAAGAGTACTAATTTTATACTGGGGAACACTTCAAGTGTTCAAGCACAGACCCAGTGTGGCAATGATCATAGGTACTTAGAAATCAGAAGAGAATAACACTGTAATGTAAAGGAAAGACGTAGCATGGGTATAAGTAACTCCCAAATATAAATTTAATGTGTTTTGAATGTTTGCTCAGAGCATGATCCATTAAACAAGGCAAAAGCCT